GTGTGTGTTGTGTGCGGCACACCCGCGCATCGCCGCCTTCGGTGACGCCACGGCGGGCTCTGTCGCCTGCACGAGGCGGGTTGCACCACGCGTGCCGGCGTGGTGGCGCTGCCGGTCTTCTGCGCACCACACGCCAACGCGCCAAAGCGGCGGCCGACGGCTACGCGCGCCGCCTGGAGCTGCGCGCGCTAGTCCGCCGCAGCACGCCTCGCGACGCCGTGCAGCGCGCCGTGCGCGGACCCCCAGGTGCGCCAACCCACAGCGACAATCAGAAACTATGTGTGGTTATGAATAGCGGGCGGGATTTGTAATGGATTAAAACATTGCTAGACAATGATAATAAAAACCTCTTAAATTGCTTCATAAATGCTTCTTAAAAAAACAAAGAAACATGACGTAAAAAAGGTGACTCAGCTTGGCTAACATTTCCTTTCGACTGTTTTTATTTAAAAGAAAATCTCTCTTTTACGTTAGGCGCGATATTGGAAAACTTATAACAGGTTGCGCCAACCCTGCAGCGACAATAGGAATTTTTGTTGGAATTTATGCCACAGGGGCGCACGGAATTTTTAATGTAGGCTAAATCATTGCTAGAAATATAAAAAAATGCTCTTCATTTGTTTTAAAAAGTCTTAAAAACAAAGAAACATGACGTAAAAATAAATTGAACAAAACCACTTCAGATGAGCGTGTTTGTATGTTACAAAGATGGAATTTTTTTTTTTGTTTTTTGTTGTTTTTTTTCAAGCATAACTCAGCTTGCTCAACATTTATTGCGACTGTTTTTTAAAAGAAAATCGCTGCCTATACTTTTATCCGCGAAATGGCGCGAACCTGTTATAAACAGGTGCAGCCAACACTACAGCGACGACAATAATATGAGCTGTAATATTGAATAGGGCCAATTTTTAATGCAGCTAAAAACACTGCCAGAAAGTATTAAAAAAAGTCTTAAATTCTTTTATAAATGCCCTAAAACAAAGAAACATGCGACGCTAAATAAATTGCAACAAAACCACGTTTTGGATGAGTTTGTTTGAGTATGATTACAGAGGTTCTCTTTTTGTTGGTTGTTCCAAGTGAACTCAGCTTGCAAACCTTACGTTTCGCTTTCTTTAAACGAAAATATTTGCCTTTACGTATCGCGAAATCGGCAGAACCGATAACAGATATGCCAACCCTGCAGCCGACAATAAGAAGTATTGTTGGAATTATGAATAGGGGCGGATTTTTAATCTGCCTAAAACACTGCCAGAAATGATCAAAAAATTATATTAAATGCTTTAATAAATACCCTAAAACAAAGATAAAGACATAAAACTCTTTATCCAAAGGCACTTCTGATAAACAACTCAATTCATGCATGGGTATGTTGCTGATGTAATCGAGGGGTTATTCCTTTTGTTCAAGTGTGAACGCAGGCGTCAAACATTTTGGTTTTCGACTGTTCTTTAAAAGAAAATAATCTGCCTTTAACGTATCGCGAAATTTGGAAACCTTATAACAGGTGCGCCAATCCTGCAGCGACAATAAGAATTTAGCTGTTTGCATTATGAATAGGGGGCGGATTTTTAATGAGTTTTAGACAATTTTATTAAAGGATTTTTAAAAAAGCTCCCTTAAATTGCTTCATAAATGCTCTCTAAAAACAAAAAACACTGACGTTAAATAAATTGAAAACAAAACCACTTTGGATGAGTTGTTTGTATGATACAGAAGCTTCTTTTTTGTTCAAGTGAGCTCAGCTTGCAAAACATTTGGCTTGACTGTTTTTAAAGCGAAATATCTGCCTTTACCGTCATCGCGAAAATTGGCAGACCTTATTTTCAGCGTGCGCCAACCCATTGCAGCGACAATAAGAATTATTGTTGAATTAGAACAGGGGGCGATTTTTAATGGGCTAAATGCATTGCTAGGAAATGAATAAAAAATGCTCTTCATTTGTTTTATAAATTCCCTAAAAATAAATAAACAGGAACGTAAATAAATTGCATCAAAACCACTTCAGATGAGTTGTTTGGTATATTTTACTGAGGCTTCTTGTTTGTTCATGTTTGAACTTCAGCTTGGAAACATTGCTTGCCACTCTTTCTTTTAAAAGAAAATCCCTGCCATTTACTTATCGCGAAATTGGCGAACTGACAGTGCGCCTGATGGACCGTGCCAGGCAGCCCAATTAATAGTAATCTCAACGGCTGCCATTAACAATATATATTATATATATATATATATATATATATATATATATTTGACGTCCTGATCGAAACGTTACTTCACGACAAATAAAATCAATATAAAAGGACGGGTACATTTTCGCTGAATGTCTCACAGGGGAAATTGACGCTGCATGGAAGAATATTCAAAAGAAATCATTTAGCATTGGAGGTTTAAATAATATAACACCTATATACATTAAGTTTTTACATAATTCGCAGTGCGCAAGCCGTTTCAATAGTTCTTGCACGAGCTAACGCTACCTTTGAAGGCTTTCCGATGTCACCCCTTTTCAATTGACTGGAGGCGAGCGTGGCCGCCGTGGCAAACGGCGGCGGCGCGGCTCGGCAAAACTCCGCTCGCGTCCCGAGTTGTCCGGGAAGCCATTTCGCGTTGTTCCGTGCTACGGGCCCCAGCACTCAGCGCCGTCCCGTCGAGCCCCAAATTACAGCCGTTCTCCTCAATCCCCATACGATGTTCCACGTGCGGCCCCCTGCTGCATTACATCCAGCGACATGCGACATTGCGTCGTCTATCGCATCACTTTAAATTCCACTGTTTTAATGTTTCACGAATCCGGTCCTGTTCCGCACTTTCTGGTTCTTCTAATCATCTGATAATTATTTTAGCACCTCTTAATCTCCCACTTCAATAACTATTAATCAGTTCCACTCTGTTGGTAATTTCACCACAACATTGTTTGGGCTTCACAGCCCATCCGCACTGCACCCGGCGCTTACTCCGTCTATATTCTTTCACCGCGGCGCTAGCGTCCCCCTTCCAATAATTTACACCCGGCGCTCGTGCTTCTCGGTTCCTACTTACACCCGGCGCTCTGGCTCCTTGTTCGCTACTGACCCTAACCGTTCACCTCGCGTCCGCGCACCAATGCCCCCGTTTGACGTTCGGTGCAGCAGGTGCGCGGGCGTCACATGCGCTGATCGAATTTCAGCGTTTC